ATATCGCTGTGTCACCTGCGCCCCTGGTTCTTGACCCTGACTGCATCACCCTGGAGTGTCAGAGAAGTCTTGGTGCCCAGGCCGCAGCCCAGGCCCTGGAGGCCAGAAGCGGGGCGGGCGGGCGGGGCGGGGCTGCAGGAGTGCTAATTCCAGGTGTCGCCTGGGCCGCCAACCTTGGGAATGGCTTTTAACATTAGATGGTATTTTTTCAAAATTCTCCCTTAAAAAATAAGGACATTATTTTTGAAGGAAACTTTGAATCTCTTAGGGCGGCAGGGAGTTTCCCTCCTTAGCCCCGTGAAGACGGATGAGTGTGCAGTCCGCCTGGGTTCTCCCTCACCTGCCTCTGTCTCCTCCTCACCGGGTGGCCTGGTCACTCTTTCTCCCAGGACGCCCACTGTAATTGTCCTGCGGCTCTCTCGGTGCAGTTGTGTTCTCATCCGCGTGTGTGGTGTTTTGCGTGGGTTTTTAGTGCTTTCAGGAGGGATCGGGTGGTCTTGTGCCTGTGCCGCCTGCGCTTCTCACTCCTTCCAGAGGCCCAGTGCCGAGGCCGTGCCGGCTGAGCCTCCTCACAGAGCGCTGGAGGCGCACAGTCATGGCACCTGGTGGCTGTCAGCTGGCTGCCCACCAGGGGCGACACTGGGGGTCACAGGTGACAATTTCCTACAGTATATACCCAGGACTGACTCACTGGGACGCGCAGGTCCCCAGGCTGGGTCTGGTCCCATTGACTCGCTCTCCAAAAAGGCCGCGTCAAAGGCCTCTAACTCGGGATGAGGGTCCTGCTGGCTTCCTCCTCAGCAGAAGGTCCAGGCTGCTGTGTCCCTGGTCACCTCACACAGTGGTCTGCTCCTACTCCTCAGGTTCTGGAGCTCTGGAGCCCCCCGGCTTTCAGGACTGGGGGTGGCTGCGGGAGCTCCCCTGTGATGAGGTGGCCCTGGCTCTGAGTGACGGGGCTGGACAGGACGGGAACGCTTTTTGGCAGTGTTCACACCTGCTGTGGCCTGGGCCAGGGGTGTGCGTCACCAGATGGTTCTAGAGCAGCCAGTTGTGGGAAACCCCAAGGTTCTGGAAAACCCACAGACGGGTTCACTCAACAGGTGCTGCCGAGGGCTATGGGGAGGCAAACCCAGACGGTCCCCCCTGGGCACCACCGGGGCCCTCCCCAGCTCCGACGTGCTCCCTCTCCTGCACGTCTGATCTTCCTGGGGACACGCAGCAGGACTTGGGGTTTCCCAAATTCGGTCTCTCAGGAGTGTCTCCTCGACTTCGCCATACCCTGTGCTCCAGGACTTAGAGTTTAAATGTCACTTCGATTTTTTAAAAAACACATTTATTTAGAAGAGACACTGTCAAGGCACGGCAGACCGCGAGCATTGAGTCAGAGCCTGCTACCTAGGAGCCTGGAGGTCCCACGGCTCCTGCTGCCCCTCTAGGGAGACGACCTGGGTGCGGCCAGCAGGTTTGAAGAGGAAATGGCCAGAGATAATGGTCTCACTTTCCTCATCTAGAATCAGGGAATGTTGCTGGAACCTTCCGCAGAGGATTGATTTGCACCTCTAATGAGATGTCCACGTGAGGGTCCCGGTGCCGGCCTGGCCTGGAGCCACCTTGATGAGCAGTCCAGTGTGGCTGCACCCGCGAGGGGATTCAGGACTGAAGTGTCCCCCCACCCATGTGCGGCACACCAGAGGGGCCTTCCAACAGCAGGCAGAAGGGACTTCAGCTGCTGAGATGGAGGAGGGCGTCGTCCCGCTGTGTGGGAGGTTGCAGGTGACCACAGCATTAAAGGAGCAAAGGAAAGTGAACCGTGTACAACCTAAAGGCCACCAGGAGGGGACTGTGTGTCCTGTCTCAGCGGATCCTCCGCCCAGATCCTTGCGTGCTGCTAAGGAGGGCCCACACCGGGAGCCCTGGGCTTGGTGACAGAGCACATGCGTGAACGCCCTCCCCTGGCCCAGGACCAGGCCTTGTTAGAGCGCCAGGCCCTGGTGAGGCTGGCCCAGCCCTGAGCAGGGGCACCAAGGGCGAGGACTGTGAGGGAGGCCAAGGGAGGGCAGCCTCAGCGATGTCCCTGGGCCGTGGGGCACCACGGAGCACTCGTCAGCTATGTGAGGCTGCATTTTCTCCCATACCAGGCCCAGGGGGACCTCTGACGTCTCCCAGAGCTCCCCCAAAGGGCAAGATTCCCAGGAAAGTCCCCAGGACTTCCAGGAGGGGTGAAGTGTTTACGTGGCACCCACACCCTGGGCCACATGGGCCCACTCTAGGGCATGTTCCACCAGCCAGAGCCCACTCTGTTCTGGGGGCTCCCTGGGAGCTGGGTGGGGCCAGCCTCCCTCCCAGGTGTGCTGTGGAGGAGGCTGGGCCGCCTCCGCCCAATCCTAACTCAGCCGCCCGTCTCCACTCACTCCCAAGAAACAGGCCTCTCCGGGCTCGCGAAGTGTCAGAACCGTCTTTCCAGGCTCTTCTCTTAAGCCGACAGGGAAGCCAGGGCTTTCCCACTTGGACAAATTGTCTTTTAAGCCATTTCTTGGTGCCTGTAGCATGTGCCTCTGACTCACTGAAATAGCCATCCTCAGGTGGCTTAGATAAGGGGGAAGGAACACGATTGGAGAATCCTTACAGGCAGGGCCTGGGGGTTGTCCGCACCGTCCCGACCCCACTCAGGAGCACCGGCACGTTAATGTGGAATCACTTTTCTCCTATCTCAAAACCTTAGGGATATAGGACCATATTATTTGGGGGGCAGACTGTTCCCAAATTTTAGTGTGCATAAGAACCGTTGGGGAGTGGTTGACAATACAGCCTTCCAGATCCCACAGCCAATCATGCAGTCAGTGTTTATTTAGTAGTACTATGGCTTACCAGATTTAGCAAATAAAAATGCAGGACAGGGGCTGGGGGTGTGGCTCAAGTGGTAGCGCGCTCGCCTGGCATGCGTGCGGCCCAGGTTCAAATCCTCAGCACCACACACAAACAAAGATGTTGTGTCCGCCGAAAACTAAAAAATAAATGTTAAAAAAACTCTCTCTCTCTCTTTTAAAAAAAATGCAGGACACCCCGTTAACCCTCAGCATCAGATCGACAATGAATCATTCTGATGTCAGTCTACCTCACGCGGTGGGCGATGACTTAGTCTGTTGGGGGGTTATAACAAGGTACCACGGACGAGGAGGCTTATAAACAATGAAATTTATTTCTCACAGTTCCACAGGCCCAAGTCCACCTCAGGGTGTCAGCACGGCCGGTTCCCCTGGGGGCCGACTTCTCATGGTGGAAGACATGGAGGTGGCTCTCTGGCCTCTTACAGGGCACTAGCCCTGTTCACAAGGGCGCCATTCTCATGACCTAATCACTTCCCAAATGCTCCATCCTCCAGTGCCAACACGTGGGAACTGGGGTTCCATTACGTGACTTTTGGGAGAACACATCCAATTGGCTCACGGTGGGACACACGCTGAGAAGTGATCAGGTGTTTATCTGGAATTCAGATCTAACGGTGTCCTGTAGTTTCACTGGTCCCTCTGATGTCATCCATCTTTTCTCATTCTCCGGCCTTTCTGTCTCTCTGTCCAGACCTCCATGACTTGGATGATGGGGATTTCCTAATAGGGTTTCCATCATGGTTTCTTTGAATTCATACTCCTCATTTATTGTACCAACAGTGGAAATAGAAAAGACATTCACTGGTCGTTGTCTGGTGTCAAAATGGCGGGCACACAGCAAACATCTTTGGTTTCCAGATGGCGGCACACAAAGGGAATGCCCCCCACAGAATGGCAGGCTAGTCTCAAGCACTAATCCCAGCAACTTCTTGTTACTGGGGCAGCTGGTGAGTGGGCTTCTTAAATGCTCTTGTTCTCTGGTCCAAGTGAAATTGATAATGGATAATATCAGCACCTCCTTCTGGGCTTTGGGGCCATCGTGGCTGGGTGCCACCTCTAGGCATGGGGTCCTACCAGCACAGCCCTCCCACAAAGAGCCTCCTTGCAGAAGAGGGACTCCCAGAAAAATATAGCTGCTCAGAGAGCTGGTCACTGGGTGACAGCAGTGTGTATGACGTGTGTTTAGTGTGTGGGCTCCATCCCTGGTGTGCTTCTGGGGGCCAGGTGCGAGGTTGGGTCCTTCTGGTACCGGGCTGGCCTGGCGTGCCCATTCTTCAGCAGTGATCTCATTCTTTATTGTGGAGATTTTCCTACACACAGAAGCAGAGAGAATCACTCAGAAGACTCCCATGTCCCAACACAAGTGACAGCCCTTTTCCAATCTTTCCTTGTGACTACCTTGTTCTGATTTTCGCTGTCTTTTCCGTGAAGATCCAGCGAGCTTCTTATCAGGAGCACAGCCTGACGCACTGTGCTGATGAGTTCATTCTTCCCGGGTTTCTACCTGCAGAACCTCCACGCAGAACAAGACTCAGAGCGGCCCACCCCAGCAGGCTCCTCCGCCCCTGCTGGGGATCTGAACTTCCCCAACTGTCGGGCACAAGGGTGGCATTTTAGTGGGCAAAATGTTTCTATGCATAAGCTGAAAAGTTTCTCTCTTTCTTCTCCATTTACTGACCTAGTTACTGGGAATGATAATAAGATTGTGAAATAGACACAGAGCAGCCCACACTAATTCTGATGGAAACAGCCTGGGAGATGAGCGGCGGTTCTGAATGCTCCACGTCAATCCTCAAGCCCCCCCTTCCCTGTCTTCCCACTGAACACTGATTGGCTGCATCCATGGTCACTGGAGATTCAAGGCAAGACCTTGAATCTCGGCACTGCCCATCCCCAGCATTCACAGTGTGGGCTGTAGTGGCCAGAGGTGCCCAAACCTGCTCCCCAAGATCCTCTTAGGGTGAGGACCCTCACCACAAGGGTCCAGGGGAGGGGGCAGGAGTAATTAAGCACTTCCTAGGGCTCCCTGAGTTGGCCTCAGCTCCCTCCAGGCCCAAAGTGGGAGGAGGCCAGCAAGTCCCATGGGTGGTGATGGCCTCGTGGTCCCCACAGACGCTGCAGGAGATCCTCCAAGCGGAGAACACCATCATGTTGCTGGAGAGGGCCATCATAGCCAAGGAGTGCCCGCTGAAGGTGGCGCCGACCAGGCTGGCATGCCGGAACCGGCGGCCCAACGTGGAGCTGTGTGGGGACATCCCGCAGTTCAGGTGAGCGGTGCTGGGGGTTGGGGGACACTTGGGGACCTGGGAAGGGGAGGGGTGGATCGCAGGACGCCCAGGAATCTTGGAGCTAACAGGACCTCCAGCCCACACTGGGCAGTGTGCGTATGTGGTGGAGGGAGACCAGACGTGAGTCCAGCCGGCTGTCCTGCGCCACAGCACTGCCCTCCCTGCCTGGGCACGCACCGCTTATCACCAGGGGTTTGTGCTCTGTGCTCAGGAAACCTCGTGTCCTCCAAAGCTGAGTAGAAATCAGCCTTCCAGGAAGGCCTGGTGCCCTGGTGGCCTCCCTTCTCTCTCCAGGCTCCCCCTCCCTGACTCCCACCTCCCACCTCCCTGAGCTCCCACCTCCCACCTCCCTGAGCTCCCACCTCCTCCTCCCTGATTCCCACCTCCTCCTCCCTGATTCCCACCTCCCTCCTATACAGTTCTCACCTATGAGGCCTTGGGGTAGCTGGAGTCCTTCCTCACTGGGTGGAGTCCACCTGTCCTGCCTAGCTGAGGAGGCCTGCTTCTGTGGACATGGGAGGGGGTGGAAAGTTCATGGTGGCCCAGAAGGGGAGCCCATGAGTGTGGGTCAGGGTGCAGTGCCTCTCCTGGGCTTCTGGGAGACGCCACAACCCCAGTCTCTGCCTCCATCTTCACACGCCTTCTTTCCTGGGCACCTCCATCCCCGGAGGCCCTTGCTTTCTCTTACAAGGAGATCTGTCCTTGGATGAGCTTAACTTAAGATCCGTAACTGAACGATGTCTGCAAAGACCCTACTTCCAAATAGCCAGAATCCTATGTAAGATGCACACAACAAAACTTCCTTTTAATTATGGCTGAATGCCCTTTCATAGTACAGCCGTGCCACGTATGATCATCATTCAACTGTCAGTGGACACTGGACTAACAGTTGCCACCCCTGGTGTAGTGAACAGCGGGGCTAATTTATACCTTTTGGTTCAAACACCCGTTTTCAGTTTTTTTTGATTACAGGCCAGGGGTAGAATTGCCGGCCACATGGAAAGTCCATGATTACCTTACCAGGAGCCGCCATGTTGCTTTCCCAGCCTCTGCTCACCCTCCTGTTCCTCATGTCCATGGCCCCCGGCAACCCTCCTCCCCTGTGGTGCCCTCAAGGCCTGCAGCCCTCCTCCCCATCACTGGAGACTCCCACACCAGCCCTCCTCCTCCCCATGGTGGGTGCGTCTGTGTTGAAGGACCCAACCAACCTGGCCCTTGCCTCTGCCCTCTCCCCAGGCTGGTGAAGGAGGCGTTCACCATTGACGACACCCTGCAGACCCTCAAGCTGAGGCTGCGAGAGACCCAGGACACGATACAGCTGCTGGTGAGGACCAAGTCCCGGCTGGAGCACGAGCTGGCCATCAAGGCCAACACCCTGTGCATCGACAAGGAGAGGTGCATGTCCATGCGCAAGGCCTTCCCCAGCACGCCCCGCCTGATGGGCCACACCTGCTCCGCCCCCGTCAGCCCTTGCGCCTGCTCTGCTCGGGTTTGTTAAAGGGCACACACTTGGAAAAGACCCCAAAATAAAGTGTCATTTACTCCCTTTCCTCCTATCATGAAAAAAAAAGTATATGTACCTGTATATATAAAGAGCCCAAATAAATATGCCCAAATCGAAGATCCTGGGACTCGTTTCTTGCTTCACATGCTTCAGAGGTTCCCTCCGGTGCAGCCTGGGGACTTGCAAGGCTGCGAGAATCCCCAGGAACGAGAGGCCCCTCCCTCTCCTTCCCGCCGTCCCTCTTTCCCTGTCTGTCCCCTTAGAAATACAAAGTAGGTCCGAACTCAGAATCCAAAGCCCAGCTGTATCACCTGGTGCTGATAGCCTTGAACAAGCGCCTAACCTGGGCACCTCATTTATGAAAAGAGGTCAGTGGTAGAGGTGACTGGCAGCACGTGGGGCAGTGCAAATAATAATGAAAATCATTATTACTTGGAGGCAGAAGTCCTAGGCTTGAATCCGAGCTTTGATAGGGTGTTTTATAAATTGTAGGAGGGAAAACAGGCAAAAATTTAAAAAAATTTTTTTTTTTGGTTCCAGGAATGAACTCAGGGCCACTTAACCACTGAGCCGCATCCCTAATCTTTTTCTGTACTTAGAGACAGTGTCTCTCTGAGTTGCTTAGGGCCTCGCTAAGTTGCTGAGGCTGGCTTTGAACTTGGGATCCTCCTGCCTCAGCCTCCTGAGCCACTGTGGGTACAGGCTTGCGCCACGGCGCCTGGCAAAATCAATTCTTTGGGCAGGTAGAGCCGAGCGAAGCTTTGTGGGAAAGTGCCGCCGTCTCAAAAATTTAAACATAGAACTACCCACCAGCCAGCAGTTCGGCCCCAGGTGTACATTAAAGCCGGGACTCTAGCAAATACGTGCGCAGGGCACTCACAAGTCAACGGGAGGAGCAGCCCAGAGCCCCTCAGGGGTGCACAAGAAGCAAACATGGCCGTCCACAGGAGAACCGTCCACAGGAGGACCGTCCACAGGAGGACCGTCCACAGGAGGACCGTCCACAGGAGGAGCGCTAGCCGGGAAGGGAGGGACGTCCCGGGGTCAGTCAGCAGAGGAGCAGGAAAAGACAGTGTGGCTGGGTGCACTTTGGGGTTTTATTCCGCCACAAAGAAGGATGAAAGTAGGTCACTTGCAGGGACATGGATGGAACTTGAGGCCATTATGGCAAGTGAAACCAGGTCACCTGTTGCTCTTATGTGGAAGCTAGAGGGGGGAAAGGAAGCGAAAGATGGGGGGTCTCATGAAGATCAAAGGGAGCTCGGTGGAGTTCAAGAGAGGGACTCCAGAGGGGGAGGGGCGGGGAGGGGAGGTCCTGGGAGGGACGGGGGGGGGGGGGAGGAGGTCCGGAGGGACCTGAGGGGCGGGGAGGGAGGGGAGGTCCTGGGAGGGGGGGAGGGACGGGAGGGGAGGTCTTGGGAGGGACCCTGGAGGGGGAGGGGCGGGGAGGGGAGGTCCTGGGAGGGACCCCGGGGGGGAGGGGCGGGGAGGGAGGGGAGGTCCTGGGAGGGGGGGAGGGGCGGGGAGGGGAGGTCCTGGGAGGGACCCTGGGGGGGAGGGGCGGGGAGGGGAGGTCCTGGGAGGGGGGGAGGGGCGGGGAGGGGAGGTCCTGGGAGGGAGCCCGGGGGGGAGGGGCGGGGAGGGGAGGTCCTGGGAGGGGGGGAGGGGCGGGGAGGGGAGGTCCTGGGAGGGGGGAGGGGCGGGGCGGGGAGGTCCTAGGAGGGGGGGAGGGGCGGGGGGGGAGGTCCTGGGAGGGGGGGAGGGGCGGGGAGGGGAGGTCCTGGGAGGGGGGAGGGGCGGGGAGGGGAGGTCCTGGGAGGGACCCCGGGGGGGAGGGGCGGGGAGGGGAGGTCCGGGGAGGGACCCCCGGGGGGAGGGGCGGGGAGGGGAGGTCCGGGGAGCGGCACTGGCCAGATCAGGTAGTAGTGTGGGGGCAGGTGGCGGTGGGACCCAGCACTCTGCCAACTACTGCGCACCAATAAAAACGCGGAGAGAGGAAGAAGAGCCGGGCGGCCGCGTCGGGGCAGAGGACAGCGCAGCTTCCAGAACCGCGAGCTGGTTCAGGGGGTCTTAGGGGGCGAGAGGTCAGCCGCCGGTGGGATCTGGGCCGGCGCGGGGCCGGGAGGAGGAAGGTGCGGAGAAGGGCACCGTGGGCGGGGGCAGAGCCTGGTCCTGCAGGGCCTTGGTGAGAAGCCGCCGGCCCCTAGGAGCAGGCGTCCCCAACACCAAGCCAGTGGACACCCGGGCGCACGCTTTTGGAGAGGAAGTTCACCCTGAATCCAGAACCTTAGTCCTGTCCACAGCCTTGGACTTGCGGATGTCTTCCTTAAGGTTCTACTTAAAAAGAAAAAAACCCCAGGTGCAGAGCCAGAGTAGTGTTCTGTCTAGATCATGGGAGCCCCTGACGTCAGGTCCAAGGGCAGAGAGAGCGAGCAAGTCCAGGGCCTGAAGTGAGGACCGGCGACAGGGCTGAAGGCTCGGGGTGCAAGACGGTGACTAGGACCGTCCTCGGGGGTGCGGAGAGCACAGCAAGCAAGGTGGCATTGAAAGCCAGGCCCGGTGGCGCGCTCCTGTCATCCCAGTGGCTCGGGAGGCTGAGGCAGGAGGATCGCGAGTTCAAACCCGGCCTCAGCAAAATCGAAGTACCAAGCAACTCAGGGAGACCCTGTCACTAAATAAAATACAAAAAAGGGCCGGGGATGTGGCTCAGTGGTTAACTGGGTTCAAGCCCCATACCAAAAAAAATAAAAAATAAAAAAAGATTGCACTTAACGTACCAGAATGTCTAGGGAGTGCACGGTGAGCAACAGCTGGATTTTATTTGTGGATTTTTACAAACCTTCTATGGTGAATGTCATCCCTTTTAATCAAGAGGAAATGCTTTTCTTAAGCTCCTTATTTTGCAATAGATTTAGAATTTTAAGAAGACACTGTGACAGAGATGGTACAGGGGTCCCTGTTCCCTCCACTCGGTTCCCCTCAGGTTAACACCTGACAGTCATTGTGATGGGCACCTGTCAGAACCAAGAAATCAGCAGGACACGTTGCTACCAACTCAACCCCAGGGTTTATTTGGATTTCACCAGTTTACCCTCTCACGCCTTCTTCTTGTTCCAAGAGCCAGTTCTCCATCTGCTCCGTCTTCCTGGGTCTGACGGTTGCCCAATCTTTCCTTGGTCTTTGAGACTATGCTGATTTTACAAATATCAGACAAGTACTCTGGGATTTTGGTCTGTCCCATGTTTTCTCAGGATCAGAGGGAGATGGTGGATTCTGGGAAGAAAGCTCCCTGAGAGGAGGCGCCCTTTCTGCTCCGTCACAGTGGAGCTCAGGAGGTCCTGCGCCATCCCTGAGGACGTGTGCCTGTGTGTCTGCGGCTTCTCCACCGCCAGTTACTCTTTCTCCTTCTCTGTGATCTACTTTAGAAGAGCGACCCAGGTCCAGCCCGAGCCCAGGGGTCGGGGTCAGCTCCGCCTGCTTTAGAATCAGGAGCATCCGCACATAGTATTTCAAGTCCTATGGAAGACAGCCATCTCCTTTGCCTCCTTTTAAGTATTTATCCCGCCATTTATGTCTACCAGCATGGACTCATAGATATACCCTGAGTGATGGTCCAATACCACACTGTGTATGTGGTTGCTCAAATTTGCTCAAGGGGAATCCTGGTTCTTTTTATTGGGGGTTGGTATCTGGAAACCATGGTATGTGCCGGCTGTGCCTGTGGATGAGAAACTTTTTGTAAGCTGGGTGCTGTGGTGCACGCCTGTCATCCCAGCAGCTTAGGAGGCTGAGGCAGGAGGACCACAGGTTCAAAACTAGCCTCAGCAAAAGTGAGGCACTAAGCAACTCGGTGAGACCCTGTCTCTGAAATACAAAATAGGGCTGGGGATGGGGCTCCGTGGTCGAGTGCCCCTGAGTTCAATCCCTGGTATCCACCCCCTGCCCCCCCCCCAAAAAAAATAAACTTTTTTTTAATTGGTGCCTAGGAGGCGTTGGATGAGCTTGGGAGAAGACCAAGGGGAGGCACTGGTGACGCCCTGAGATTTCAGTCCCCTCTGTCCCCTCAGGCCCTGCACACAGGGGAGTCCCACAAGTGCTTTACTAAGTGAAGAGAAAATGCCGAGACAGTCTGTACCAACCCGCGGGAGCCCTCCTGGATTGGCGAGTCGTTCCTGAGTTTTAGGAGAAAAAGTCTTTGGCTGCCTCTGGGCATGGGAAATGACCCCCAGCCCCATTTGCTCTTTCCAGCAGAGGACCTGGATGATGTGGGACCCCCGGTGACTCTCAGAAGCTGCAGGCTGGCCACCCCTTTGCAGGATGACTTCTCTGCTGCAGAAGCGTCGGAGGCAGGAAATCTCAGCGACAACCCAGGACTGGCTTCCTGCCAGCCCCAGGAACACCCTGGGAGACAAGGGTTTCCCAGCTCATCTGCTGTCCCTGGTGGCTGGGGAGCGATGCCGTCCAGCTGGCCCCGGGAGCACACCACGCCCCAGGAGAGAGGCAAGAGTGTGTGTTTCCGGCCTTCGGCTCCCGTGCTGACCCAGCCTGGGGCATTTTTCTGAAGACCAGGCCTGGTGCTAGAAATGAGGAGGCTTTGGAGGGAAAGAAAAGTGAGAAACCACAGGAAGGAGTCTAAGACTTGGGGACTGGTAAGACGGACAGGCCTGGACCAGGCTCAGTTTGTAGAACCCGCCTTTTTTCAGAACATATCAGACTCTTGACAACATTCGCATAATGAATTCTGCATATGTGTGTGTGTGTGTGTGTGTGTGTGTGTGTGTGTGTGTGTTTGACGTTTCTTAAAAACAGGATTTAAAAGAATGGCTGCCTGTGCCCACAACCTCTTGTGCTGCTGACCTAGGGACCCACGGCCTTCCTGGGCCACAGTCCCCACCACTCCCTGTCGCCCCACACCGTCCTGCCTCACTCACAGATGTTGCTGTAGGCTCTCCAGGCAGCTGTCATTGTCACCCCCCCTTGTCCTGCTCCCTAAGGACCCTTTGAAACAGCCTGGCCCCTTTGGAAAATCGAGGCTCAGAGGGTTTGAGATGAGAAGGAACTTCAGTGTGTCACAAAGTCCAGTGCAGGCAGATCTGGGGTGGGGATCAGGACTCCTG